TATATTTATTTGTTTTTTATTCGCATATCCAAAATGCACATGAAAGTAGGTGGCTGGAAATGTAGATGGTGTATTGCTTTAAAAACAAATAAAATGCTTAAATTGATTGTCCTGTCAAGCACAACCTGCCAAAGCAGACAGCAAAAAAACAAAAAAAAACAAAACACTTTTCTTTAAGTGTAAGTAACAAGCCATTCAATTGAATTAACAAAGCCAAAATTATGTTTTTTTCCATTTGTTTAGATTTTCTAGTTCTCATTTTTACAGACTGTCCAACTTATACATGTGGTGAGGCAGCCTGGTACTTCTATGTGCATCCAGGTGAATGCTTTCGGTTGCCACTCTTTTGTTGTCCATCGCATGTGTGTGCAAGTTTGGAGGAGGCCACAGCTGCATCACTGAAGTGTTCAGCACAAGCTTCCTCTCAGGCTCATTTGACACTCGATTAGCTCACACCTGAGCAAGGGCCTGTGCCCATACATCAGCCCACAGCCCGACAGCAAACACACCTGCGGACAGCGGCAGGCACAGTCAGCAACACGCAACCTCTGACGCTCATTGGTCAGAAGCTGGAAGATGCTAAAAATGGCCTTTCCAAATCTGGAGCTTTCGTTTTTCTGATTTAACGTCAGCATTCTGGTGGAAAAGAAGATTTTAGCTTATGTTGTATGGAGTGTAAATACTGCAATATTCATCCATTCTTTTTTCGGCTTAGTCCCTTTATTAATCCAGGGTCACCACAGCGTAATGAACCGCCAACTTATCCAGCATGTTTAACGCAGCGGATGCCCTTCCAGCTGCAACCTATCTCTGGGAAACATCCATACACACTCATTTACACTCATACACTATAGACAGTTTAGTTTACCCAATTCACCTGTACCGCATGTCTTTGGACTGAGGGGGAAGCCGGAGCACCTGGAGGAAACCCACATGAACGCAGGGAGAACATGCAAACTCCACACAGAAATGCCAACTGACCCAGCTGAGGCTCGAACCAGCGCCCTTCTTGCTGTGAGGCGATAGCACTACCTGCTGCGCCACTGCATCGCCTATACTGCAATATTGAAAAACTTATGTCAAATACTATCATTCATTATTCATTCATTTATTTTGGCCTATTCAAGACGTGAAATGTAGCATTTTAAATGATAATAATTATTATAAAAATAAAATAAAAATTCATTAGAATATTATTAGAAGATCATGTTGCATGGTAGGGCTGCACAATATTGGGAAAAGTCTGACTTTGTAATATTTTGTTTTGCCAAACTATTTATTGCAATATGAATAAAATTTCACCAGATGACTTTTTTTTTCCATTTAGATCGACTGGGATGAGTCTTTTTCTATGCAGTGCATCTGCATAAATTATAATAAATTACAAGCAAAAAATAAATAAAAATGAACAGTGCTTTATGGTTTTTTGGGGAGTCAAATAGTACACAAGTTAAGAAATTAAACAATCAAATGAAAAATAGCACGGTCATCATTGTATAAATAATACAGAAATAATACAATTTAATATTATCTTTATATTTTATTCCGTAATAAATAATCTAATCCTGTAATCTGACTATTGCAGATACACACATTGCGATTTCGATGCTCAAACGATATTTTGTTCAGCCGTTTTCCTTGGTGGCTTGCTAAGCACTTCATTTGAACAACTTAAGGCAAAGACATTTGCCTTAATATTTAGAATGTTTTAAACCGTCAGATTCCAGATTTTTGACAATTTGTACCTCTGCCATTTTTGTTTTTGTAAAAGCATTTTGTAGGTTTTATTTATTTGTTTGTTAGTTTATTTTGTCTTCAATCTTTAATAACTTTTTTGAATGATATATGGTGAACTTCAATAATTTAACTTTGATTTGTTTTCAAGTGTACATGACAATATACAGTACTTCCCACACAGGCTTTACCGGTGCAGGCTACCCAAGTACTGTACATTAAATATACTTATACTTGTAATATACTTAGTGACACTTTAAACTTTCTAAACGTCTCATAAAAATTTTACTAAATACTTGGAGAGGACAAAATTACATTTAAATTGGCTGCAGAATATTTGTACACCGTTAGAAATGGCTAATCGACTCATTTACTGTAAATAATTTACATGTTCTATTCTTGTAATTATTAATATTTTTAGAAATATTGTCTGTTTATTATTTTTTTTCTGTCATTTAGTTCTTATTTGCTGTATATTTTATTAATTTAATTATGTCAATATATTACATGTTTTATACATTTAAAATGCTTTGGCAAAACTGGACAAAGTTTCATGCCAATAAAGCAACCTATACTTGAATGATAGATAGAGAAGCATATTTTACCTGTCAGTGGGTGCACATGGCTCCTGAATAGCATAAAAGTAAGAAAAATTAAGAAACAGTGGATTTTATTTATTTCAACTGTCTTTTTAATTATTTTTTTTTACTTTAACCCATTGAAAATAAAAAGTTTAAAAAAATAAATAAAAAAGTGTTTAAAATCTAATTATGCTTTGTTTGTTGCATATAGTTAACTATTTATGTGCTGTGGTGGGTAAAAGGTGTGTTTCAATCCGACTACCACCATAAGTATATTTCAAACCTGTGTGAAGTCATGATGCAGAAGTAAATATGCGGACATTGACACATCAGTTTAATGACTTATAAATTTAAAACCTATGAAGCTCATATTAATGAAGGATGCATCATTCAGTATCTTGACTTTGGCAGGGAAATGCAAACTGTATACATACATGCAAATACGTACATAAATATACTTTCACAACTTCACACCTGCATATAGATAACAGAATATAGATTAATGTGTATTAGAATATTTGGCGTGATGTCCAAGGAGAGGGTAAAAGTGTAGAGCTGGGGTGATGGATAGATGCAAATGGATGGGATAATGGAGGTAGGACAAGTTTGGTTATTTACAGTATAGAGACATTTTTTGTTTGATTGGATCAGTGTGATTGCAACTGATGAATTTGCCGTGTTACTATCTGATTGTTTGTCTTGAGTTTACAAAACTTCACTTAATGAATTTGTACTGGAACTTTATCCATATGGAAATTTGTTTACATTATGTAATTCCATTGTAGCGTTTTCCATAGAGTATTTTTGAGGCCTGTCTTGTGTTTGTCCCGTTATATGAGCTGTTATAATGTCTTAAGGGTTTGTCAGACAGCAAACAGAAGGGTTAAAATCCATCTCATATTTTGAGGTCACCGAGTCATATGTTTTATTGATATTTTATCTCCGAAAACATACTAAATCTCTGCATCTGAGCAGGATTCAACTGCAAACGTCTCCGGTAAAATTATTTCTCACAACTTTGAAGATCCAGGAGGAGCGACAGTATGAAGATTGAAGCTTCTCATTAAATGGGGCTCAGCAGTTGCACAATAACACACTTCCTCTCTCTTAACATGTCTATACGAAATCACTTTAAATCACCTTCGCTGTCAATCACAATCAGCATTTCCCAAGGCTCTCTCCTATTTCATTTGCAGGGTGGCATTAGGTTTTTATTTATTTTTGTCAACCAGATAGGTGGAAACAGTCTAATTCATTGCATTTTCTCACCCAATTTCCATATGTTTATATGTAATTATTAGACATAAAAAACAGGCCGGAACTTACGGATATGGCTCATTCAATTATGTAATTTATACCTTTTGGCGTGGCCTTTATGAGCTAACTGCATATTAATAGCCTAATTAAAAGGTGAAACAAAGTTTAGTTTTGAGTGACTTTTGTGAAGGGGCATGGTTTTCCAATAAGCAGCCCACAAGTGTAATTACAGCGCCGTCTGAAGAGTTGCTTTAGGAAGTCGATAAGAAGTGTGAAGAAGAGGTCAAATGGAACCTTTTGACTGCTCAGTTCAGGAAGACAAAAAAGTGAGAGTCCTCTCCGAATTCATATTTTATGAAATATGCGGCTCAATTAAGCAAATCCATAACGGCAAGTTGTTCACTGCCTTTATTTAAATTCTACTTGGCACTTAACGAATGCTATCTGATGCCAGCTTCTCTGCTTACTTTGACAAATCCTGATAGACTCTTGCACTCAAAAAAATGACATGTTGTCGTTAATTAACTTTTTTTTGTCCACTCGTTCCACGTAACTGAGTTAAGTTACCTTTAAGAAAGAATATTTATTTTAGTGAACTTAAGTTAGTTACATAAAGGTAATGTATTGTTGTTTAGTTCAATCAATGTAACATTCATAATTTAGCTTTAATCAATGTAGTTATTTAAGTTCAATTATTCTAAAATTTATATTGTTATGTTTAACCAAATAAAAAAACAGTTTGTTTCATTGAGTTTATTCAATAGCATTTTTACAGTTTTACAAATTTTCCAGCAATAAAATGATTATCAAAATACATCTGTATCTTCACTTATTACAATAAGTTAAATATTGTATGTACAATATACTATTAAATTAATATTAATACAAGTATGAAGTAAATTAAAAACAATAAATGATTTACAAAAATAAGCTTACAAAAACATCATAAAATACACTTTTCAACTTACTTTTCATATATTACAAAAAACATTTAAAAATAATATTCTGCCATTAAATGAGTTACAAAAATATACTTAGAAAAATTAAGTCTTTTTTTGTAAACTATACTGTACCTTCTTTACACTGAAAAAGCAGATAACACTTCAGTTGTTCAAAGAAAGATTACCACTTTAAAGCAATGTAACACAATCAGCATTACATCATAAATTAGACCAACTATCACAGAACATGCAATAGCTAGACACATTCATCTCTCTGGGCACCATTTCTGCACATTTGCACCAGACACTTTCTTACAACCACTCCCTATATCTAAAAAAACAAACACACACACACACACACACACACACACACACACAAAAAACATTGTGCATGAAGTCTGCTTCACACAGGTGAGTGGGCTTGACAAACCACATGTAGAAGCATTCTTAACAATTTTTTGTATAATTAGCACATCTTGGGAGTATTGCCTCTTCTTGTTGATTTGCTGAATGTCTCCTCAATTGTAAGTCACTTTAGACAAAAGAGTCTGATAAATGTTCATGTAACTACTGTAGATTCATAAGGTGGTGTTGCACATCAAGGTTTGTGCTTCATCATGTCCAGCATCCTAAAAATGTCAAGTAAAAAAATAAAAAGTTTACCAACAGATCAAAGGTGAAAGGAGGAAATAGTTTAAGAGGAAAAAGCAAAATGTAAAAAAAAAAGTAAAAAGTAAATGGCTTACTGTGTACTCTCTCACAAGGGCTTTGAGAATGCATTCACACCTTTTTTTCCACTGGTGATGTTCTAAACGACATGAAATGACAATTAGTATTTTACTAAATAATTAGTAGATAAAATTACTAGTAATTTTTACTGTACATCATTTTAATGCGTGTCTAGGCATCTAAAGGCATAGTACCTGGATGATCCACAGTCTCCTCAACCAGATATGGGACAGAGGCTGAGCTGTAAACCTGAGGGAGAAAAAAGATGCGAGTGAGCAAAGATTTGTAATAATAAAATATATAGCATTTAGAATAATATATTTATAATAATAAAAATGAAAAAAAAAAACTGCAAACTAATAAACTTAAAAGTTTAAATGTGTTAGATGACCAAACAAATAAGCTTACATTAAATATGTCATCATGCTAGATGTCATCCTACTTAAGCGTCACATATGCTTGTGCCAACACCACCTTTTAATTAATATTATGTAAGTTATAAAAACTGGCATTAAAACTTGACAAACTGCTTGACACTCATTTAAAATTAGACTATTTCTTACTACCAACGTTTGCAACTTTATTTTGGGGTTAATATATACCAAGTATAAAATTTCACAGGAATGCAAAAAAACTAGAAATTAATCTGCCTTTAATGTGAAAAAGACACAGGAAACATGACAATTTCATAACAATACTATACACAAACACAACATAGTATTACAAGGAAGTTCATTAGTGATTCAAATGTTGTCACAGCCTCAGTATGAATACATACAAAGTAAAAAAAAATCTCACCTGCGTCCACAGTAAGAAAAGCTTTCTGTGCACGTTCTCAATTTGTACTGTAATCTTCATCTTTTGATTCCCATTTTATGGCGCCGATCTAAACGAGCTGAGAGTGATCGCTGTGGTTTGAATCTTCTTACTTCCTGTGTTGTTTTGAAACTGCGCATGTGCAGATATTACTCCACCTATTGACCAAAATGCAGTACTGCAGAAGCAACACAACTCCCTTTCATTCATGTTAATTAAGCAAGCTGTTTAAATGTGAAAACTTACTTTTTCTAATTTTTTCCAACATAACACTTTTATTTTTAGTACACAAACATAAGCAAATTGTTTAATTTAAACATAGTTATATTCTTTGGACCAACAAAAGCCAAAATTCATTTTTTTGAGTGTGGGAAGAGCAGCTGCATGAAGGACTGTGTGTGTGTGTGTGTGTGTGTGTGTGTGTGTGTGCGTGTGTGTGTGTGTGTGCACATTATATTCCTAATGTGAGGACCAAATGTCCCCACTAGTATAGCAATATCAGTAAATTTTTGACCCTGTTGCGACATTTTTGGAGGAAAATGGGTCAACAATCAGGTTGGGTTTTAGAGGTAGGCTTAAGCAAATTGTATGCTCGGTCATTCCGTTTGAATGGACATCAAATTTTCCAAAACTGTTTGCCAAGCTTATGATTACATTGCACATGTGGAATCACCAATATAATAAAACAACAACCGTCTCATAAATTTTGTTTCTAAACGTCCGAATCAAACAAAATCTGCATAATTTCAGGTTGCCCAAGTTAATGCACATGCACACTCGAAAGAACCGAGATCACAGCACCAACCTCATTTATGGCCATTGTACATATCATCATCCTCTGAATAATGATCATCAGATCGTGCTGCTCTTCTGAAGTAATTCACAACTTGGTCTTAATGGCAAATCTCCAGAAATGACAGTGACTTGTATGCACCTTTCACAATGCAGACCTTTTCAGAAAACAACTGGCAATTTTCCAGAAATGGATCATGTGTGAACAGGCCTTTTTTTTTTTTTTTTTTTAAATACCGATAAATTTGTTCAGGCAATATTTCGGAAAGAGTAGTGGTAACATTACCGGTAATGCTGCTCTGTGTGAACGCAAAAGGAAAATTCCCGGAAAGAGCATGTTCACCCTTAGAACATGCTGACGTGAGACGTCTATTCCAACCAAACAGAACATTTAGACACAGCGCTGTTTATGAAAATAACAGCCTTTGAATATTTTTCCAGACACATTTAACTGCTAGATGTTAGTCAGATAACATTTCTATGTGTCTTCTTAATGCCAACTGTGGAAAAAAAAATTACTAAAAGGCTTATGATAAACCACTGTTTGTTGATCTTCAAGCACTGCTTCCTTCAGTTGCTTGACGTGTGTGCACGTGAAGCAGCCGGTGAGCTCCAGCACACACACTTTAAATTAAAGGTAATTTCTGGTTAATGATGTCAGAACTTAACGGTATTTTGGAATAGATGTGTAAATAGTCTATTGCAGTGGTTCTCAAACCGTGGTACGTGTACCACTAGTGGTACGCGGGGTTCCTTCTAGTGGTACTCGGAGGAATGAAATATGTCATGTACATGCCAAATATATTTCAAAATTTATCAAAAATTATTTATATAATATGCCATACATGACATTTAGCCTATATTTCTGAGTTTATCTGCCATGTTTTTTTTTTTAACTGTGCAGAGTTTTAGCTGCTTTACTGGGTCTACTACGCTACTGTATTTCAATACTGCTCATTTTGGTGGTACTTGGAGAGACAATTTTTTTCTGAGGTGGTACTTGATGAAAAAAGTTTGAGAACCACTGGTCTATTGCCTGTGTGAACAGCACTTTTCTGAATCCACCGGTTAAGTCGTTCTGGTAGTTTTCCGGATATTTACTGGGATCACTGTGTGAAAGGGGATTTTGTTTACAAGTTTGTGATGTTTGAGTTGTTGCTGTCATGGGATGTGTGTTTGAAAAGATGGACTATACCACGTGTTCATTTCATACAGATTACAAAAAAAAAAAAAAAAAGTGTTTTCAAGTACACTTGGTTTATTTAAAAGCACAGATTTCCAGCTTTTTTTGGATACGTTTTTTTTTCTGTGAAGCAAATATTCGCTGAGATTCCAGTGAGTTTGTTGAGCGATGGATGATTCTTTCTTGTACTTGTAGGTGGAGCTTCATTCACTATATTGACCAGTACACTTTTTCATTTTCAAAAAAAAAATATGAGTGACACATCTTTGTGTATTCTATAGTCTTTGGCCCCTTTCACACAGTGATACCTGAAAAATTTCTGAAAAATTTCCTGAACGACTTTACCGGTAAATTCAAAAAAGCTCTGTTAACACAGGTGAGGACGTTACGAAAATGTTCCTTCTCAGTCCACACAGCGCAGCATTCCAGCAAATTACCGGTAATGTTACAACTTGTCTTTCCGGAAAATAGCCAGAACGAATTTACCGGTATTTTCAAAAAGATCCCGTTTACACATACACACCTTTCCGGAAAATGGCCGGTAATTTTCCGGAAAGGTCTGTATGTGTGAAAGGGGCTTTTGGCTTAAGGAAGAGGGATAGATTATACAATCTGTATACAGTACAGTTCACAGTACAGAAACCATTACATGTATAGAAAAGTCCCCATAAAGATATCTGAACAAGTGTGTATGTGTGTGTCGTAAGAGAGGGGGAAACAGCCACAAGGATAATGGTCCTCTTCTCCCCTTTTGGCCCATTCTTCGTCTGGACGTCCACCTTGGCTGGCTCTTCACAGCAGGCCTGTGGTGAAATAGACATCTATCCGACAGAGAGGTTAATAATCGTGCACCTGGCTCTCCACAGGGCCCTGTTCTCCCATCCTTACCTCTTATTTAATCAAACACAAGAGGTAAAATCCACGAGGGTGTGCCAGGCAAGATGTATGCAATATAGCGTAAAGCAGTGTTGTCAAGGGCATACTGTATGCAAGCTACTAAAAAGTGAACAGTGATGTTTGACAAAAGCAGTTAGAATTTTGCCTAATTTAGAGCTAGATTAAAGTTCTAAAATGAACATGAACTCTTAAATAGCCACATATTCAGTTATAATTCAATATAAAAGCAAGTATTTTTATTTGCATTTCTTACGTAAGATGGACACACACACACACACACACACACACACACACATACACACACACTAAAAGGGAATTGTCGTTCTATACTGGCCAACAGGGGACCAGGGTTTTTGCTTATTTTAATAATTTAAGGTATTTTTTATAATATATCTGAAAATGAGTCTTTTATTATTATTTTAAGCATATGCCAAGTGGGGACTTGAAGCTGTAGGTGACATCTACTATCCAACAGGGGACCTTCATAGGCTGCAGAAACACTGGATGTGAGAAATGTAGACTGCTGGAACACATACTTTTTACTTAAAATCTGCATAACTGTCAACATTTGCATGTGAAAATAAAGGATATGCCCACCATAATAAGGGATTTAAATATGTTTATTTGGAGCTGTTTCATTGTAAATAAACAGCTAATATGTTTTAATAGTATTATTAACAAAATAAAAATAAATATATACATTAGCAGCTTATATATATATATATATATATATATATATATATATATATATATATATATATATATATATATATATATATATATATATATATATATATATATATATATATATATATATATATATATATATATATATATATATATATATATATATATATATATATATATATATATATATATATATATATATATATATATATATATATATATATATATATATATATATATATAT